CATATAGGCTAGTAGAGAACAACTTGAAACAAAGATCAATACAGATATAAATATAGGGTCTGCTGTGACAAAGGAGGTTTGAGTTCTGAAACTTGAGCATAAGACTTTTGCTATTACAGGGAACCAATGTGGTGCAGCAGATAAAACCACTACTTGCAATGCAGACATCCCATATTAGAGTAAAGGCTGAAATTCTCACTACTCCACTTCTGATTCAGCTTCCTGATAATATGCCTTAGTTCCCTGCAACCCAGGTGGAAGATCCAGATGAAGTTCCTGGCTCCTGGTTTTGGCCTAACCTAGGTCTGACTGTTGGCAGCCATTTGAGGAGTGAATCTGTGAATGGAAAATCTCCCTGTCTCACTCTCTACTTCCCTCTCTCTCTATTGCTCTTTCAAATACATTAATAACTAAATCTTTTTAAAAAAAAACTTCTAGGGACGGACACTGTGATGTAGTGGGTAAAGCTGCCACCTACTACGCTAGCATCCCATGTGGGCTCCAGTTCCTGTCCCTGCTGCTCCTCTTCCGATCCAGCTCTCTGCTATGGCCTGTGACAGCAGTTGAAGATGGCCCATGTTCTTGGGCCCTTGTGGAGGAGACCTGGAAGAAGCTCCTGGCTCTTGGCTTTGGATCTGCCCAGCTCTGGCATCTGGGGAGTAAACCAGTGGATGGAAGACCTTTCTCTCTGTCTCTCCCTCTCTCTGTCTGTAATTCTACGTCTAAAATAAATAAATAAATCTAAAAAAACCCCTCTATTAGTAGAATGAAAGTACAAGAAATGGATGAGTTGAAACATAAGAATCAACATGGAAGTCAAACAGTTAACAGTGGGTATTACCATACTATAGATAAGTCAAAAATAAGAACTCTGTTTGAAAGCCCACTAAATAACACTGTTACTGTGTCCCACAATCAGCTTTAAAGTACAAAAGAGAATTTTAGTATTAATGATACTTCTCACTAAACCTGATATGAAATTTGGTAGTTTATAATCTTGACTATGCATTCAAGACCTGCAGTAGTGCTTTTAGTTTGCTTTAACTGAATGTTTTAATTTCCTATTAACTCTATTGTCAGAAAACAAAAGCAAGAGATAAGAGATTCACAGAAATTCACAGTAATTAACTTAAAATTAGTCATTTAATGACAAATTAAACAATTATTTTAACATGTTTTCTAATTTTTTATAAAAATATGTATCTGAGAGGCAGAGAGGCACAGAGATAAAAAAAATTTTATCTGAGAAAGAGAGGGAGCTCGCATCCTCTGGTTCACTACCCAAATGCCCACAAGAGCCAGAGCCAGGCCAAGCGCAGAGCTGGGACTGCAAGTCACCTCTTCCCCAGTAAGGGCAGCAGGGAGTCCAATGACCTGAGCCTTCACTGCTGCCTCCTAGGAGGGAAGCAGGAAGCTGGAGACAGGAGCCAGAGCTGGGAAACAACTCAGGAACTCAGATGTGGGACACAGAAATGTCAACTGCTAGGCTATACATCTGCTGCTTGAATAAAAAATTTAGATTTAATAAATCAAATAAAATTTAGTCTAAAAATACAAAATAAAATCCATGTTGTAAAGCTTTAACAAGTGATGGTAAGATTATAAAAATTATCTATGTCAGTGCAGTAACTGGTTGGAAATCAATCTCGTGTCTCTCCTCTCCTTCGTGCTGTAAGAGACAGAGAGAGATCTCCTCTACTTTCCCCTTAGCTCTCTTTTTTAAAGATAGATTTATTTATTTATTTGAGAGGCAGAGCTACAGAGAGAGGGGAAGATAGAGAGAGAGAGGTCTTCCGTCAGCTGGTTCACTCCCAAATGGCTGCAATAGCCAGAGCCGGGTCAATCGAAACCAGGAGCCAGGAGTTTCCTCCAGGTCTCCCATGTGGGTACAGGGGCCCAAGAACTTGGGCCATCTTTTACTGCTTTCCCAGGCCATAGCAGAGAGCTGGATGGGAAGAGGAACAACCAGGACTCGAACTGGCACCTATATGGTGCCTACTGCACCACAGCGCCAGCCCCTTCCCCTTAGTTCTTATGTGGTATCTCTGATTGGACTTAGGAAACTAATCAATAATACAAATGTTAACAAGTGCATAAAAAAGTTTTATTAAATTTACATGTATATGAGGATCTTTACAAATAAGTCTGAAGAGTAACTAAAGCACAATCCTTTTACACTTTTTAGACAAAGAATAAATGTGTGAAAGAACAGGACAAATGACTATTTAGAGTAGGGTAGTAAATTCCAGGGCTGTCATTAAGAGATTATATAGAGGGGGGGCGTCATTGTAGCACTGTGGGTTAAGCTGCTGCTTGTGATGCCATAATCTCATAATAGAGTGCCAGTTGGGGCCCTGATGGCTCTACTCAGATCTGGTGCTCTACTTAGTAACCGCCACTTCTGATCCAGTTTACCGTGAACTGCCTGGGAAGGCTGCAGATGATGGCGCAAGTACTTGGGCCCCATACACCAGGGAGACCTGGATGGTGTTCCAGGCTCCTGGCTTCAGCCTGGCCCAGTCTTTGCTGTTATAGCCATTTGGGGAGTTATCCAGAGAATGACAGATTCTCTATTATTCTTCCTTTCAAAATAAATAAATAAATAAATCTACAAGAGAAAGAAGTAAGGGGAGGGGGTGATGTAGAAGCTAGTGAAAGATAAGGCTTTCAGAGTCATTTTATTCAGATTTGTTGCAGCTCATATTATTCAGTCTCTGATGATCAACTAATTTCCGGCATAGGTGGGTAAGAACATCCCTCCCAAAGAATCATTTGGCTTGTTTCATGTAGGAAAAGACAGATCAAATGATTGTTTCTGAGGTTACCTATCCTGCATTGACTTTGGCTTGAAATAACCAATAGACTCATCAGCACTTTTTGAGATAGCAGGTCCTTAACTCCATCACTAACAAAGATACCTGATTTCCTACCTCAATCGTCATTTCTGAAGATCACTGTAGACATTGCTGCTCCACAATGCCTCAACATACCACTACCTTAGTACCTGTCAATTGCACCATTATCCTTTTACTGAGAAGACCAGTATTTACTTTCCATTCATTAATCTGAGCCTAGGCTTATTTTCTAAGAACAATTAATTCTTATCAGTGTGTTTATTACTGAGGTAAGGTACATAATGGGCTTTTTGTTTCAAAAAATTATAAATATAATCAAATTACTAATAAGAGACTTTTGGAGGGCGTAAAATCAAGTCACACTTCTTTCTTAAAACTACTTTTTTCCCATTGCGGATTTCATGAATTTGACTTTATTTTTTTTATTTTTTGAAAGCCAGCATGTGCCTTGTAGAGAAGAAACATGCATTAGCTCAGCTCTTTTTTTTTTTTTTTTTTTAATTAGGCAGAGTTAGACAGTGAGGGAAAGACAGAGAGAAAGGTCTTCCGTCCGTTGGTTCACCCCCCAAATGACCGCTATGGCTGGCACTGTGCCGATCCAAAGCCAGGAGCCAGGTGCTTCCTCCTGGTCTCCCATGAGGGTGCAGGGCCCAAGCACTTGGGCCATCCTCCACTGCCCTCCCGGGCCACAGCAGAGAGCTGGACTGGAAGAGGAGCAACCAGGACTAGAACATGGCGTCCATATGGCGCCACAGGCAGAGGATCAACCAAGTGAGCCACGCCGCCAGCCCCATGAATTTAACTTTAATTTCATCTTCCATTCTTATTCTAAACTCCCTTAAATTCATTTCAACATTAATACAAAATAGATGTGCGTTTATCCTACTCTTAACTGAATGCAGTTACAAATAATTATTGTGGAAGATATAAAAAGCGATTTGCACCAAGTTCACACTTTGCACTATCCCCTATCAGTCCCAGATCAGATTTCTGGTTAAGAGTCCTGGCTGCTTCACTTGCAATCCAGTTCCCTGCTAATGCACCTAGGAAAACAGCAGAAGACTAGTCAAGTACTTGGATTCCTGCCACCTAAGTGGGAGACCCAGATGGAGTTCCTTGCTCCTGGCTTCTGGGCTCACACAGACCTGGCTGTTGTGGCCATTTGGGAAGTATATCATCATACGGAAAATCTCTTGCCTTGCCACTCTGCTTTTTGAATAAATACATCCATCTAAAAAATAATTAAGTTTGCGGAAAATGGAACGAACAGTTAAGCTTACTTAGTTCACTAGCAAGGACAAGGGCCAGAAAGCACTGATGCAAAGGAGAGTACGTCCTAGGAGCCTGTTGACAACTTCTTACCATTCTGCCTGCAAAATATACTCGCCTTTCTAGAATCTAAATTTCTTAACAGCATGGAACTCTGGAGCCTACTAAAATTCATGGGCTAGAACAGACACTTTGCATAAATAGTTTTTGAATAATCCACTGCTACCATCCTTGTCCAAGAGAGAATCCTTTCCTTACGGTACTACTAAAATAGTTCCCTAACTGGCCCCTTACCTTGTGCTTTTGCCTCGCTGCCTGGGAGTCTATTCTGTAAATAACGGAGCTATCTTTCCAAACAGAAATAACGTTAGGTTTTTACATTGCCTGAGATGTGGCCCCTGCTAACTTCCTTGCCCGGCCCTGCCGGTGCTGTCCCTGGCTTGTGACTCTGCACAGGCTGGTGCCTTCCCATGTCCGTCAACTCCTAAATTAAGGCCATCTTTTTACGCAGCCGCCGTTTTTATGTTCTACTTGGCCATTACCACTGACCGACTTTTTTTTCTTTCTTGTTTACATTGTTCTGTTTCCCCCTGGAATGCTATCCACGCAAGCACAAACTTACTGCTGAATTACTAATCGAATGAACGCCTCTGTCCTAATTCTCGTTTTCCTTAAGTGTGGATACACAGCAGCGCCAGGAGAAAAGAGCCCGCGGCACCCTGGGGCTAACCTGCTCCCTCCTGGGCTTCCCCAGCCCAGCCGCCCAGTTCCCGCCTCGGCCCCCCGCTCTCCAGCTTCCCGGACACGACCACCAGGGGACGCGCCGCACTGGGCCGGTACAGGAGAGGACCCCCGCCCGCGTGACCCGCCATTCACCTGACCCCATCTCTGCTTCCAGCAGGGGGCGCGACTCCGCAAGCCGGGCCTGCGGCTCCAGCGCCGACTTCCTCAGCGCCGCGAGCACCGTCTCCGGGGGCAAGTCGACCAGCTCTTCCCACAGGGACTCTGTGTAAAAGTCCACCGTATGGGCATTCGAAATGGATAAAGCGTCCCTGAGGAACCATAGCAGCCCCTGCAACTTAGCATGCAGAGTGGGCAGGTCCTGGGTCACCGGGAGAAGGCCGGCAGCCGCCATGACGCTCACCCTCCCAGGCTGTAGGTGGCGCAAACATGGGAGGCCAATGGTTCGGCCCAAAGCAGCACAGGCCGTATAAGTAGAGCTCCGAGCTAGAGTCTGGCTGCGTAATGGATTGCTTCAGCCTGGTGACGTATTTTGCAGGCGTCCGTTTCTTGCGACACACAGTTCGCCATGGCGCCGGTAAGGCCGGCGGCGAGGTGGCAGTTTGATGGTGTTGGAACGCGTGGCGAAGGGGTTTCTCCAGTTGGTTTCAGGAAAAAGAACGGGAAACAGAGAACCTGGTGGCCTAGTCATACGCAGGGCTTCGCGGGGAGCGTTCGCCAGGGTAAGGAGGTAGCCATTTATAGGTCCTCGGGGCTGAGATGCTGGGATGTGAGACCCGCCGCACCTCGGGAGATTTAGATTTCACAAACCCAGTGCTCCTCGGGCCGTAAAAAGCCGTTCTTAAGCCAAGGGAGGCTGTGGTCTTCACGGCTCTGGAGGGGAAGGCGGGGCAGTGTTTGCTTTGTCTTTCAGCATCTTCAACTGAACCCGAAGCAGTGCCCATTCGTTTATTGCCCGGTGAATTCGCAAGCACAGCGCGCCTGCGGATTAATTTCGCTTGTATTGTGGTAAAGGTTAGAGAGAAGGTTGGAGCTAGAAATCCGTACACCACCTCAAAGCCTTCGTCGCGATACCCCAATCTTCACTTTTTCCCTTCGATGCTTTCAATAGACTTTGACTTTTTGTCTGTAAGGTCCCTCAGGTCGCAGTTGGCATACATATTAAGTCAATTCCCTGTTCAGATCACTGCTAGCTATTCAGAAATTCATAGACCACCATTTTGGGGGGGGGGTGTTGAAGTATTTTCGAGTCAGTCGTGTAATAGTAAATTTCTAGGTAAGGTATTAGGTTGGAGGTTTTTTTTTTCTATTTTAAAATATTTATACGAAGGAACGTAATAAGTACTTCACATAAATTAAGAAATTTGTTTTGACTTGTGACTACAGTTATAAACTTGAATTGTTCAACAGCCTTACATCTTTGAGATCCTTACCTTGGGTGTCTGCAGACTGTTTGCTATTTTTATAGACTTGTTATAGACTTGTTGTTTCTCCTTCAGCTTAAATCTGTTGTTTAAAATAATGTTAAAGTAAAACCAGGTAGTTCCCGTCTCTGTGCTGATATAAAAAAATTTTCATTTTTACTAACAACTTCATTTTTTACTCAACTTATTTTCTGTGAAATGATTTTTACTGGTATTCTTCAATGTAGGGCAAGGCTTTGCATTTCGAAGAAAACTGAAGATTCAGCAAAATTACAAGAAGTTGCAACGGAGGGAAAAGAAGGCTCAGACATCGCAAGAATCCCAGTTCACAGATCGATACCCAGATCATTTGAAACATCTCTATTTAGCTGAAGAGGAAAGGCTAAAGAAGCAACTAAGAAAAGCTGACCGACCGCTGTCAGAAAAGCAAGCTGATCAGCCTTTGCCTGAAGAACAGTATAGCATTGACCAGGCCTTGTCTGAAGATCAGCGTACTGTCCGCCTGCCTGAGCCGGAAGAACAGCATACCAGAACAGTAAAGTATGTTTTTTATTCTTTGGAATTCTTTATTTTAAACATATGTAGCATTTTTGGAAGGTATATTAGAGCAATTAGGAATTAAGAGTTTTCCTTGTTTACCCATTTAGATGTAAACAGGTAGACATATTTTTGTGAAAAAAAATTTTTTAAGATTTATTTACTCATTTGAAAGCAGATTTATGGAAAGACAGAGGTCTTCCATCTGCTGGTTCACTCCTTGAAATGGCCACAGTGGCCAGGTATGAGCCAGGCCAAAGCCAGGAGTCTGGAACTCCATCCGAATCTCATACATGTGTGGCAGGGGTCCAAGCACTTGGGCCATCTTCTGCTGCTTTTTCAGGCACATTAGCAGGGAGCTGGATTGGAAGTGGAACAGCTGGGACTGGAACAAGTGCCCACATGGAACGCAGGAGTTGCAGACGGCAGCTTAACAAGATATGCAACAACACCAGCCTGTGGAGGCTTTTTAAAATAACCAAATTAAGCTGGTTTTGCATAGTTGAAGAAGTAATGGAATGGAAATTAAAAAATCTGGATTTCAGATTTCTACCTCTCAAGGACAGATAACTTACTTGGAGTATAGTTAACTCCAAGAGTGTGTGTAATTAATACACGGTGTTTGAAATGACGATTTGACAGATATTACAAGTGTAGTTATCAACCAGATTGTATTCTAGAGTGAGATTTAAATTGGAGCCCTGCTGTCCTCTCCTGTAAAATGGGCATGTATTCAGAGCCATGATGTTGGACAGTCTGTAATGCATCATACACACAGATTCTGTGGTATTTCTGAAGTAGTTCATGACGTTGTTGTGAAGGCTAAATGAGTTAATTTGTGACCCACTTAGAAAGTTTGTGGGTACGTGGTAAATGCTAATGAGTGTTAACTGCTACAGATGCTGTTAATTTGGATTCTCTCAGAAAAAAGGAAGTGAGTTGCAATTAAGAAACACATAAAGCTTTATAACGTTTGGTTTTATAGGATCTAACGTAAAATTTTTGCACATAATTGACATCTTTCAAAAAAGCTGAAATCCAAACTTCAAAGAAACTAGGTATTAATTGGTGCCATAAACTTTTATCTTTTTTTTTTTTTTTTTTTTTTTTTGACAGGCAGAGTGGACAGTGAGAGAGAGAGACAGAGAGAAAGGTCTTCCTTTTGTTACCAGTTAGGATCCCAGGAAAAAGTATACTTAGGGTAAAGGCAGAGACACAGAAAGTTTAGGCTTGTCTGTTACATTAAGTAACAGGCTTAAAGCACAGGGAAAAGAGTTGCACAGCAGCTCAGATTCGAGTCCTTTCCAGAGGGAGAGAAACATTTGAAGTGAGAAGTTAAATCATGAGACAAGAAAGAAGCTAACAAAAATATTTTGAAAGATTACCTCATATTTTTAGGTGAAAACAGGAAGAAGTTGAAATTACATAAATTTTTCAAAACTGAATAAAAGGAAATGCCACATCAGAAGTAAAGAGAAATAAGGATTAGTTAACTATCAATACTATAAAGTCCAAGGAAAACAGAACTGAGAACAGGTCTTTAAATATGTGAAGTAGGCAGTCATTGGTGACTTTGAAGAAAAATTTCACAGTGGATAACATTGATTAAGCTTTCAGCTCTTTGTGCTCGTGGCATCTTAAGCCATAGTCGTGGATAGCTGCTTGAAGACAAGAGCATGGAAACCAGGAAGAGAAATACCTTGTAGGAAAAAAAGTAAAAGAAGTGGAAGAGGCTGTACCATGACAGACTAAGAAGGAGCAGTTAGAAAGGATCTGGAAAGAATATCACCCAAACTAAGGGAGTACAGCATTCAAAAGTAATGAATTCAAACTGTGAAAAGTGTGCATTGATCATAGTTGACTAGAAGATGATCACTCTCTTTAGATACGCAGTTTGTATGGTGTGAGAATAGAAATCAGATATCAGAGAATTAAAATGAGACTAGAGAATAAAAATCATAGTATATTCACTTTTCTTTCTAGAAACTTGACTCTAAAAGGTAAGGGAACAAAGCTGGAAGTTAGATGGGGACATAATGTGGGGTAATGGGCAGTTTCTATATTTCCTTATGAGAGAAACTAAAATGCAAAGGGACTTCAAGATATATATATATATTCATAGAAAAATGTCACAAAGTTTTTTTAAATTTTTTGATTCATTTAAGGTGAACAAATTTCATCTATTGTGTTTATACAGATTTAGGAGCATAGTGATACTTCCCTCCCACTCATGGTACCACCCCATCCTCCTTCTTACTTCCTTTCATATTCTTTGTTTTAATTTTTACAAGGACATATTTTCAGTTTATTTTGTAATCATAATCTCAACCTTCCACTAAGTAAAGAATAAATATTATGTAAAAAAATGTTCCTCAACAGTAGAAACAAGGGCTGTAAACAATAATCGAATCTCAAAATGTCAATTTGCTCATATACATTACTTTTTTTTTTTTTGTACTCCATTGATAATTCCAGATAAGGGAAAACATGTGAGATTTGTCTTTGGGACTGGCTTGTTTTACTAAGGATAATGTTTTCCAGTTGCATCTGTTTTCTTGAAAACGACGGGATTTCATTTGTTTTTTTGTGGCTGTATACAGTGTATATATATATCACATTTTCTTTATCCAGTCATCAGTTGATGAACATCTGGTTGATTCCAAATCTTAGCTATTGTGAATTGAGCTGCAGTAAATGTGGAGTACAGATAACTCTTTCATATGCTGATTTCATTTTGTTTGGGTAAACTCACAGGTGTTGGATGGTGGGTCATTTGGTGATCTGTCAAATTTCCATACTGTCTCCCACAATGGCTGTGCTAGTTTACATTCCCACCACATCCTCACCTGCAATTATTTTTTGATTTCTATATGAAAGCCGTTCTAACTGGGGTGAAGTGAAACTTCATTGTGGTTCTTATTTGCATTTCTCCAATGGCTAGTGATCCTGAGCATTTTTCCATGTGCCTGTTGGCTTTTTGGATTTCATCCTTTGAAAAATGTCTGTTTAAATCCTTTGCCTGTTTCTTAACTGGATTGTTTGTTTTGTTGTTGAGTTTCTTGAGCTTTCTATAGATTCTGAATTTTAAGCCTCTATCAGTTGTATAGTTTGCAAATATTTTCTTCCAGGCTGTCGGTTTCTCTTCACTTTGCTGGCCCCTGCTGCTGTATTTTTAATATCTGATTTTGAAATTTTGTTCCTTACAAGGCTGAGTACTCCCATCTACTGCTCATTCCCAAGTGCCCTCTATGGCCAGAACTGGATCAGGCCAATGGTAGGAGCTAGGAACACAATCCAGGTCTCCCACATGGGTGGCAGAAACCCAGTTATTTGAATGATCACCATTGCCTTTCAGGATCTGCATCAGCAGGAAGCTAGAGTTAGGAAATGGAACCTAGTACCCAGTATGGGAAACAGGGATATTAATGGCTAGGTTAGATGCCTACATCTTTATTTGAGCGTTTTCATAATCAGGTTAATACCTTGTTTCTGATTCCTTCTCTCTTCCCTCCTCAGTTTGTGTTGGTGCAGTTTTACTGTGCAAGTACAATCTCTGATGTAATTGCATCATAGTTTTGGTGTAGTAATATTAAATCGTTGTGTCTTATATGTCTAATTTACTTTATAAAGCTCCATTACTGTTCCAAAGAAAAATAAAAAGAAAACATCAAATCAGAAAGCACAAGAAGAATATGAACAGATACAAGCTGTGCGTGCCGCTAAGAAACAAGTAAGTACCATTTTAAAAATATTTAGGTACATTTTTCTTTATGTCTCTTAAATGTATGTGCAAACTCTGCTTCAAACTATTGGACATTTTGTAATTTCTCTGTAAATATTCCTGGAATGAATGGATTGTCTGAGCAGAGTTAGAGAATTGAATAATGCTATAATTCCTTGATTGTTGAAATTATTGCAAGCAGTACTAGTAGGAATTTTAATGATATTGCTTATAGGTTAATAATAGAGCATCTTGGACAGTGTTTGTCAAAGTAATTTGACCATCACTGACCTAAGAAACATATAAATAAATGATTTTCAAAATCTTAAACTGAAGCAAGTAGAAGGCAAAAGAAAGCTGGTAGAATAAAGTGTTTCTTTATAAATGGTTGGTCTTGCCAATAAGGAACCTACTGATTTAACTTAGCAAAAAGTTAAGATCCAGAAAACAAGAATTAAATAGACTTTTTAAAAGAGTAGAACAAAGGGGCCGGCACTGTGGCGTATTGGGTAAAGTGGCCACCTGCAGTGCCGGCATCCAATGTGGGCGCTGGTTCGAGTTGCGGCTGCTCCACTTCCATCCAGCTCTCTGCTATGGCCTGGGAAAGCAGTAGAGGATGACCCAAGTCCTTGGGCCCCTGCTGTTGTGTGGGAGATCCCGAGGGGGCTCTTGGCTCCTGGCTTCAGATTGGCACAGCTCCAGCTGTTGGGGCCAATTGGGGAGTAAGCCAGCGGATGGAAGACCTTTCTCTCTCTCTCTCTCTCTGCCTTTCCCTCCCTCTCTGTGTAACTCTGACTTCCAAATAAATAAAGCAAAATATTAAAAAAAAAAAAAAAAGGTAGAACAAAATTACCCAGTTTCAACAAGGTTATCATTTTGTGGAAGTAGTGGTTAGTGCTTGATTTTTTTTTTATTGAAGTTTTATTATAAAAGGATAATCTGTCAATCAGACATACCCCAAAGGTAGCACTCACGTAATATTCTTTATATTTTTACATTTAAATTTGGGCGATTCAGGACGCTGGGTCTGATGTCTGAATTGGTCATGATTGCTATGGCAGACTAGAATTAAGCAGAAATAATTTCTCCATGGGAAGATTGGACCTCTGTTGTATGCCTTATTACATTATGTGTTTCTCTAACCCTTGAAATAGTATACCAGATGAAATATACTAGCAAACATTTAGTGTACTTTAAAATTTTCCTTTATATACAGCTAGGGCTTTGTAATCATGAAAATGTGACAGCAGCTTATTCTTACAGATTTCAAATGTTAGTATAAATGTCACCACCATTACTCTTGGGAAACCAAAATTGTTAAGAACATTAATTAAAGACTGATGATTGATGGCAGAGATACTAAAAAATAGTTTTGAAATGTAAACTCTGCTGTATATACTTAACACAAATAAGTTTCAGTTCTTTAAAATAAAGAATGTATTATGTCATAATGTAGCATCAAGTGATACAGAAAAACATAGTGGAAAATTGCAGACTCTGAATTCTAAAGTCTGAATTTGAGATTCACTTCTGCCACTTAATTGGGATCATGAGTGAAATATTAACTTTTCATCTGTAGGATGAACATTAAACTTAGCACGAGTGCCTTTTAATGAGTAGAATATGTTATGTCATATATGATGTATATGAATGAACAATTTATAAGGCACTACAAAAATAAAAGGCTGTATCATTTAGGGGCTCTGCATCATAGCAGAAATTAAAGGCAGTGTCCATATTACATTGTTTAAGAACTTATGTTTAACTTCCATATTTTAGTGAGAATGTTGTAGTGCTTTTCTGATTAGTACATTTCAAGTTTATATTTAACACTTGGTAATTTTTCCTCATATTCAAACAAACTTGAGTCTTAGAAGTACAGGATAGCTGGCGCTGCGGCTCACTAGGCTAATCCTCCGCCTTGCGGTGCCGGCACACCGGGTTCTAGTCCCGGTCGGGGTGCTGGATTCTGTCCCAGTTGCCCCTCTTCCAGGCCAGCTCTCTGCTGTGGCCAGGGAGTGCAGTGGAGGATGGCCCAAGTGCTTGGGCCCTGCACCCCATGGGAGACCTGGATAAGTACCTGGCTCCTGCCATCGGATCAGCGCAGTGCGCCGGCTGCAGCGCTGGCTGCGGCGGCCATTGGAGGGTGAACCAACGGCAAAGGAAGACCTTTCTCTCTGTCTCTCTCTCTCTCACTGTCCACTCTGCCTGTCAAAAAAAAAAAAAAAGTAAAAGAAGTACAGGATAGCCTTTTTTTCTTTTTTTAAGATTTATTTATTTGTTTGAAAGGCAAAGTTACAGAGAGGGAGAGATAGAGATTTCCCTCTGCTGGTTCACTCTCCGAATGGCTGTAATGGATGGAGCTGGGCCAGTCCAAAGCCAGGAGCTAGGAGCTTCTTCAAGTCTCCCACGTAGGTGCAAGGACTCAGATACTTGGGCCATCCTCTGCTGTTTTCCCAGGTGCATTAGCAAGGAGCTGGATTGGAAGTTGGGTAGCCGGGTTGTGAACTGGTGCACAAATGGGATGTCCAGGCTGCAGGCAATAGCTTTTCCTGCTACTCTACCTGCAGGATAGCTCTGTAGTGATCAAAATTATATTGCCTAGCAGAACATTTTGCACATAAATACTAAGGAACAAATGTTTTATTAAACTTGTAAATTACATGTTAAAAAAGGTTATCAGATACAAATACTGGAAATGAAGTTTTTAGTGTTATATGGAAAATTGGACAAGATAAACTCCAGCATCCTTTCTGCTTCTCTGGTGCAGTGAATTAAATGAAATTATTAGATAGGTATGCCTTCTATTTTCATTCACCCAGTTTTATTTTCATGGGGATGATTGAAACTGTTGAATAACTTTATTCCATGTTAGGTCATGTATCATAGTTTGAAAGCAAAATGGAGCATTGCTTCAATTAAAAAAAAATGATTTACATTTTGTAAAATGTGAGACAACCCTTCGAGTATTTGCATGGTGATAGCTGTTTGAAAACAAGATCTGAATTATATCTTCTGTTTGTACTAATGAAGTGACATGTTAATAATTTCAGGAATTTGAGAGGAGAAAACAAGAGAGAGAAGCAGCTCAAAGGCTCTACAAAAAGAAGAAAATGGAAGTCTTCAAAATATTGAGCAAAAAGACTAAAAAGGGCCAACCAAACTTGAATTTGCAAATGGAATATCTTCTTCAAAAAATACAAGAAAAAAATTAAATCACACCTTCGTCCTTAGGGATTAAAATATTTACTGACTGTCCATTCGATTATTTTGCGTAACAAGTGCCTCCTGACAATGAACTAAATTTGTTCATAAACTGGATTGCTGACATAGACTATGTATAAAGTATATGTTTTATATATTTTGTTTATGTTCCACATAACAGGACTTGTATCTTATTTATTTGCCTCTAAAGGCAGGTAAACTGAAGAACTGATAAAACCCATTTTGGAGACAAGATTCAAGCACATATCTTCTTTTATACATGTGAAATAAATTGCCTTAGGAAATGAAATGTTTCAACTTAGTGATTAGCTCTGTATTTTTACAATTTAATCGTGAAATAAATGCTCCCCTTGAATTTTTTAATTATTTTAAACTAAGTACATGTGACAGGCAAATGGATTTTGTACATTGCTGAGAATATAGCTGGTTGCTGAAGTAATCTGTTCCCACTGTATAACAAGGGGGGCCTTCATTAAGCCATGTGGTGCAAAAATTCCCAGAATTTTGTGCTTGCTCTGTGACATGGTAGGTTAAACCACTGCCTGCAGCACCGGCAACTGATATGCGCGCCAGTTCATGTCCTGGCTGCTCCACTTCCGATCCAGCTCCCTGCTAACATACCTGGAAGAATATTGGAAGATGGTTCAAGTTTATGGGCTCCTGCACTGACATTGGAGACCCAGGTGAAGCTCCTGGCTTTGGCCTAGCCCAGCCCCAGCTGATGCGGGTATTTAGGGGAGTTAACCAGCAGGAGGAAGCTAACTATCTGTCTCTCCCTCTGTAATTCTGACTTTCAAATAAATAAATAATATCTTTTAAAATAATAATTCCCAGAGTCTGATACTTAAAAACAATCTCTTAAATGGAACTACTTACTACTATAAGACTTTGAAAGGGTAATGATGATGGAAACCCGAACAATGTCTAGCATTAAGCTTTCTAGATCTCATGGGAGAGACCCTGTTCTGTAAAAAAAACATTGTTGCCTCTTAAATCCTTGTGGGCTGAGGGAAACTACTGGGATAACTGCTTTTCCTGCCTCAAAATTTTAATGAAATGAGGAGTACTTACAATCACTGTTAAAAAAAAAAGGGCGGGGGGGCTGTACAAGATTTATAAGACATTGCATAATAGCTTTATAAATGGTAAATATTTGAGGTTTGAGGGAGCCCCATGCTCTACTACTGATTAATTCTTAAGTTAAAAATGTAGTAAGAGATGCTTAGCAAACACCAAATTTGTTATTTATTAAGAAGTAGTGCTTAGACATTTGCAGTAAACTATTGTTTTTACAATAGGCATCTCAGGAAGCCTAAATTTGTGTTGGTGAAGACTGTATACTGTGATTCAAAATAAAATAGTTTGTAATGATTTCACACGTGATTTTACTTCTAGATATTTTGTCATGGCACGCTTGGAAGGGGATCTAGTCTTGAGATGTGAGTGAAAACCAAGTTTATTTTAATAGCTTTTTTGTCGGGGTTGGCATTGTGATGCAGCAGGTTATGCCACCACTTGCAACACTGGCATCATGTATCTGAGAGCTGGTTGGAGTCCTGGCTACTTGTGATCCAGCTTCCTGCTAGTGCACCTGTGAAGACAGCAGGTGATAGTCCGGGTGCCCATCTGGAAGACCAGGATGTAGTTCCTAGTTCCCAGCTTCAACCTGACCCAGCCCTGGCTGTTGCAGCCATTTGTGAAGTGAACCAGTGGATGGAAGGTATGTCTCATTCTTTGCTTCAAATAAATCTTAAAAAGAAACAAACAGAAAAACTGTTGAGCAGCTACTCTTATGCAAGGTCCTTTTTAAGTATTCTTTAAATATAGAATCCAAGGATCTTGAAGGATAGTCAGTGCTACAAATGGGAAAAGGTGATCAGTGGCAGTGAGGTGCAAATTGAGGTTCAACCTAGTGTACCAGAGAATCCAACCCCTAGAGATTTGGATAGAGCAAATAAGCTCAGTAATGTACTTTTTAATTTGCTGTTCCAGTGATTCTGTTACTGGTCTTTAAGCCACATTTTACAAAGTAGTTTCATTTGGAGAAATTCTGGAAAATGTCATGAGTGAAGCAATGTTGAGAAAAGTCTTCAAGGTTGTGAAGATTAGAAGGGAAGTCAACATGAGAGGAATTTCAGAGGGAAGAAGCTTGGGATGCATTTTGATGTCTACCAAATAGTTTGTGTATATTATTACTGATAGAGGAAACACAGCCATTTCTGATGTTTCATTCCACATGGAAGAGACACTCTCAACCTAATACACATATTCTCCTTACTGTCTGTCACACTTGTTCTATGCACAGGTGATAAAAAGACATATAAGTAAGTTTGGGAGAAGGACCTGGGCTGGTATTGTACATGTACTGTTAGTCTTGATTGCTTTTGTAAAGGATATCTATTGATAGAGGCTATGAGGAGGATGCTTGTGTTTTTAGGAATGTAACATCTAAAAGTTTGTGCTGTATAGGTCACTACATCAAGGGATAAAACAGGTAAAGTTCGAGGAAACACAATAGATAAGTAGAGAAACTTAGGTTGGCCAGTACTTGTGGTTTCAGGCTTCAGACTTAAATATGTATGTTGAGAGTTTTGGTCTCAGCAGTCTGTAGGGAATTATACTGCACCATTTGTAAGTGTGCAGTATATTTTTGCAGCAGTTTGGCAAAAGATTTTAAGACAACTGTGGTTTTTTGTGTAGGGGCTGCCGGTTTCGTTTGTTTTTCCTTCCAAATGTAAGAAATCTGCCATCCTCTGCTTCCTTCCCTAAATGTCTACAACAGGTGAGGCTGGACCAGAGTGAAGCCAGGAACTCACTCAGTCCAGGTCTCCCATGTGTGTCAGGGACCCAATACTTAGTATCACTGCCTCCCAGGCTGTGCGTTAGCAAGAAGCTAGAACAGTGAGTGATGGAAGAATTCAGGCCCAGGCACTGCAAAATGAGATGGGAGTGTCAACCACAAAACCAAATGCCTATAGCAGGTGTGCAGTTTTTACCTACCAAAGTTAAGGTAGGTTTGTTCCCGGGAAATAGGTTGTTTCTACCAGAGAGAGGTAAGGTGCAATATTGGGCCTTACTCAGATGTACGCTGGCCTCAACCAAAAAGTGAGGGCGTGTTTTCATGGTGATGAAGACATACAATCTTCAGCAAAGGCATAGAAGGTGGTAATTGTGTTCACCCATCTGCTGGCCTCTTGGATGGCCTCAGCAGAAGCCAGTCACAGTGAAACTTCGCAAGCTACCCTGGCTGTGCTGGCATCAAGAAGGACACTGATTGAGGCTGAGATTCAGGCTAATGCAGCTTAACTTTGACCTGCATTAAATATGCATGTGTGAGCAATAGGGGCCTCATTAGACTCTGTAAACACTTAAAAGGAATCTCATTTGAAGTAAAGATTTTTTTTTTAAACTTTATTTTTTGACAGGCAGAGTGGACAGTGAGAGAGAGAGAGAGGTCTTCCTTTTGCCGTTGGTTCACCCTCCAATGGCCGCCGCACCCGGTGCCGATGGCAGGAGCCAGGTACTTCTGGTTTCCCATGGTGTGCAGGGCCAAAGCACTTGGGCCATCCTCCACTGCACTCCCTGGCCACAACAGAGAGCTGGCCTGGAAGAGGGGCAACCGGGACAGAATCCGGCACCCCTACTGGGACTAGAACCCGGTGTGCTGGGGCTGCAAGGCGCAGGATTAGCCTAGTGAGCCGCTGCGCCGGCCTGAAGTAAAGATTTAATAATAGAATATTCATAGATAATGCTAGATGTTAGTGACTATAAGTATTTTCTATTTTCTGTTTTAAACTTAAAAAAATCCTTTTATGGATAAAGCATTCTAGAAAAGGTCAAGGTATAAATTGTTGATACTAATCATTGAAATGTAGAAAGATTTTGAACAGACTAGTCAGAGAAGAACAAGGTCAAAGGAGAGCTAATGATTGAGACTGCACCACTGCAAATTCTGTACTTTTCAAGCTAGTATCAGTGTCTCTGAGAAGATACAGTATGACATGGAAAATCAGTGGTGATAAATGTAACTTCTTGCCAACAAATTTTTTCCAGTTTAGTGTGCAGGCCGTGTAACTGGCATTTTGATGAGACTTAAGGCTTTGTCACCAGCTATTCTTCCTACAGAATCGTGAGTTTCTATTGCAGTTTCTACTGAATGTTGTCTTTGGTGGTAGCAACTACTGTGTCTGGAAGCATAGTTTTCTATGGGAGAGCTGCGTGTTAAATTTGATGTGTAGAAGGTAAGTGTCATCACCTTGGGTGTTTTAAGTCTTTGGTCCTTTTAAAAATGTACACCATAGACTTGATGTTGAATTAATTTAACCTTTGAGGAGCTGAATGTGTCATATCCATTGTTAAGAAAGATACAAGGGTTTCAGCTGCTGAAGAAACTTAGCATTAAGAATATTTCTTTGCCGGCGCCGCAGCTCACTAAGCTAATCCTCCGCCTTGCGGCACCGGCACACCGGGTTCTAGTCCCGGTCGGGGCGCCGGATTCTGTCCCGGTTGCCCCTCTTCCAGGCCAGCTCTCTGCTGTGGCCAGGGAGTGCAGTGGAGGATGGCCCAAGTGCTTGGGCCCTGCACCCCATGGGACACCAGGAGAAGTACCTGGCTCCTGCCATCGGATCAGCGTGGTGCGCCAGCCGTGGCAGCCATTGGAGGGTGAACCAACGGCAAAGGAAGACCTTTCTCTCTCTCTCTCTCACTGTCCACTCTGCCTGTCAAAAAAAAAAAAAAAAAAAAATTCTTGCTATGAATGAATGAAGTAAGAAACTGGGAAGGATTTTAATTTTGTTGAACTCTATAATGGCAAAAATATTTGCATTCTAATTTTTTGTTCTGTGGATATTGAAAGGTAATTTAGTTGATAGACTTCATGAAAAATCAATACTAAAATTGGAAATACTACTTTGCTAGCATTTTAATATTAGCTCTTTTCCTTATTTGAATAATTCTTGTTGAGAAACCTAATTGAATCATCACCTATGGCGTTAAAAGAGAGCCCTGTGACAGACATGGACACCTCAGGGGCCTGTTGACCCTGGGTTTTACATATGCATTGAGATATATTTGAACATACTTGAAATATACAATTTTGTGTTTTTGATACATACATATACTTATGAAATCATCACTGCAATTATGTATTCATCTCCATCACTTCTGAAACTTTCTTCATGGCCTTTTGTAATCAATAATGTGGTAGTTCCTGAAACAGATTCTAGACAGCCATAAATCTGTCTGTATAAAGATCTGTCCCTTTATACTCTGCATTTCCAAAAATATTATATTATTGAAATAATATGCTATACACTCGTTCTGTCTTCTAGTCAGCTTGGTTATTTAATAAATGCATAATGATTTGTTTCTTTTTTATTGCTGAGTATTCTGTTATATGAGTATACCATGATTCTGATCCACCTGGTTGGAAATTTAGCTTGTTTCCAGTTTTTGCCTCTTAGAATTAAGCTACTGTGAGCATTTGTGTCTAAGCCTTACATGATAGGTATATGGTTTCATTTTTGTTTAGTAAATACCTAGAAGTAGAACGGTTGAGTTACATAGTAGGAACTTATTTCATTTTTTAGGAAATGTAATATCTGTAAAGAGTTTGAGCACTGGAAAAGTGACTTTTCTGCTGAAACTAGGTAAGGAGCCTATGAAAAACTAGCTCCCAACGACACCACTTAGAGGATCTCAGTAGCACTCCAGTGTATCCCCTGTATTTTATCTATTTGTAAGGCAAGCCTTCCAATTCCTGGTGGACACACATGCTATGTTTTCTACCTTAAGTAGCATTATTTTATTCTAACATATTTTCAGAGTACCAATAAAATAACAGGAAGATGTCTCCAATAAACACTGGTAACTTATAATCTTACCAGTGTTGCAGCTTTTTACCAAATTTGTATACCTCTGCTGACTTACTCTGTAATGATATGAAATTAAATGTTCATCAGAATGTTCCACATTAGTACAACCCATATTGTAGCAGTTCCTTTGCATGGACTGAACTGATGCACTGTCAGCTTACTTCTAGTCTTTGGGCTAAAGATGCTACTGACATACATTGAATATTTGAAATTAATGACTAAGACTCAAATGAATATAAACCTTCACCAATGTCATCCTAATAGCCACTGAAACCTTTGTAAATCTCAGGAATTATAGCCATTATTGAGTCTACTAAAGTAAATATGTCCACATGTCTATTGTTGCAGTATTTTTATATAGTTGGCTAAGAAACCTACCTGAACAAGCTGCTTGTGTGTTCAACAACTCAGGGTAAGCAAAAGAACCATGATGCCTAGATTCTTAGTTGTTCCTAATATTAACTTTAGTTTCCACAAGATTGTATCCTGTCCTCCACTTGAAG